CTGAGCATAGAGTGGATATCTGGAACAGTTAAAGAAGACAGGATGTTTCATTAAAAGAGAGCATTATTAGGCCTGTTTAATTGGATTTAATTCAGTGAAATAAAAAAAAAAAAACACCGTAATCAGAATTGTCTGCATAATGCACTAGTAGTGCATTATGTTTGTGTAGCAAAATATTGTGATGTATATTGTGTATCATGGAAATGTATCGTGATAATCTTGTCATATTGTCCACCCATAATTCATTATGCAACACAAGAGCAAGCTGTGTTCTGAGCACCGCAGCAAAAGGTGCTATAACCATAGCCAAGACAAAGCTGACTTATACCGCTAGCAAACTTTTGCCCAGTGAACTGTCTTTGGCAGACCAGCAGTCTGATGAGTCTCTTGCAGAACTGGTTCCCTCCTCTGCATTCCAACAGAACAGCACACATTCCTCTACAGTCAACATGTATGCTGAGTTTGTATAAAAGTAGACAGAGTTTGACCAATCAGTGTTTTTGGGGCCAATACCAATCATGAATCGTCTTTCAGCACGATCGGCCGACAGCCGATACTGTTTGAGGGCGGGGCTGGATACCACATTCAAAGCTGCAGAGGGCAAACAACGCTTAGATCTTTGTGGCCATAAAACCCTTCGCAAATACTGTATGGACAAATGGCATGGTATAACAAGGTGAACAACAACACAACAAGTAATGTAACTAAGGTTAGCTAGGGTCTAGTGGCAGACATGCACTCTCAGCCTGACACGCACCGCCAGCCTATTAATGAGGTCAGTGCATGCACTGCCATGACAATGTTTTGTCGGTTTGATGAGCAATTAAAAAAAATTTTAAAAATTAAAAACACACACACAGCACTGTTGGGCCAATGACTGACACTGATTTACTGACTTACACTGGAATTAAATAATAAGGTTTTATTGTGTAAATTGCCAATCATGACGATATGCTGGTACCGTTTTAAGATTCCTCTCGACTCACTAAGCAGAAGCAGCCAAATGTTACAGGTTTTACGTCACTAATCAGCTCCCATGATCAGCTAAGTTAGAGAAATATCAGCCGATCACCAATCTCATACTTGGACTGAAAATCATCAGATATCGATACATAGCTGATCAATACTTTTATCTTTACAAGTACCTTGACACTGTTGGCTGATGGTGGTCATTTGTGCTCCTGTTCTTGTGATGAGTATGTTTCTGGCCTAAGATGGAGAGTGATAGGTTGAACACTCACTCATTCACAAAAAGTGATCCAGTGAAGCTGGCTGGCCAAAAGCTTGGGAGGAAATTAATTGGTTGGAAGGCTGAGGGCAAAAGGTCAGGAGAACAAAGATCACACACACACACACACACACACACACACAGTGCAAGCTGCAGAAGAGGAGGAAGGACAAAAGCTTAGTGTTGTCCTGTAAGCTTTTTTTTAATAGTCATTATGGAAACATGCGCGTGCACACACAGAAAAAGAGGGAGAGAGCAATTTTCGGAGGATTTTCGATAGACCACATCCCTTTAAACAGCCTGTATGAGACTGCAATTTTATCGCAAATACAGAACTATTTCTTTTCCACACAAAAAGCAGTACTCTTCCTCTTCCTGACAAATTTGTTAAATAAAGAAACTTAACTTTAACTCATCAATAAAAAGAACTGTTAACTGCACATTTTACAGCCCACACAACAATGCTCTCAACATCTTTAACAGGAAGGTGTGGCTGGAACAAAATTTGCAAACTGTCAGGCTATTAAAATATTTTATTTGCAAAATACTTGGTCTAGATTTTCAGGTCAGCTTCTGGTTCCCAACCTGCTTTTGTATGTGAAGAGAAATTCCCTCTCTTATTCTCTCGCCTTCACAGGCTACACTAGTCACTTTAGGGGCCTATTCTGAAAAGACTACTACTTAACATAACCATTTAACACTAATCTGTTCAAGCCTATTGCGCAAGAACTTCCCATCTTGTTTAAAGTGCTCTGGCAAATTACAGAACAAAGGAAGACATCACATGGTAAATTTCTGTAGTCAGCAGGCCACGTGTGCTGTGGTCTAAAAAAAAACAAACAGAGGCTTTAAAAAGCGTCAAAAAAGGTGTAGAGGAATGATGCCTAAAAGAGAACTACATAAGGAAAAAGAAAACAGTTGAGGCTGTTTTCTCTGAGCAGATGACCATTTCCTGTTCTTAGAGAAAAGCTCCCACAGTTTGAGTCAATGTGGTACAGTGATCAGAGGACTGGATCTGCTCATCTGAGAGAAGCTACTGTAACTGACCAGACATTACTTAAGCCTAATAAACACACACATGCACACACAGTGCAAGTAAGTTGTAGCACAGTAAATCAGAACTGACAGTAGGTCCCATGAGCTGGCAGAAGTAGGCCACATTCCAGGCTATATTAGTATCCCAGGCATTCAGGAACACCCTGATCCACAAACTCTGCTTATACTGAGATCATTGAGACCACTCCGGCTTAAGCAGTAATGCTCTAATGCAGCACTGACATGGGCACTTTGCTTCAAAAGAACACCATGCAACCACTAAGATACAGTCTCAGAGCAGGGCCGTACAATATGGGCAACATAGTAGCATTGGGATTTTATTGCTACGTACTAACTGCGATAGTTCTTGCAATATATTAAAAATACATTGGCAAACCTATAACATGAGATGGCTAAAGATTGTCTCACACTATTTTAACCAACATATGCCCAAAAGTTTGTCAACATCTGCTCATCTAATATTTCTTCTGAAATCAAGGGTATTCATAAAGAGTTTGTCCACCTTCTACTCTTCTTGGAAGGCTTTACACTAGATGATGGAACTTGGCTGTGATGGTTTGGTTGCATTCAGCCACAAAAGCATTAGTGAGGTCAAGTACTGATGTTGATAAGTTCTGGATCACAAACTCGTTGCAAAGTTATTGGATGGAGCTCAATCAGTCCTGACAATGCAGTTCCACTGCTGCACAGCCCAGTGCTGGGGGGCTTTACACCCTTCTAGTCAGTTTTTGCTCTATTCGCAATACTTTTCTATGACGATTATAGAAGTTGTGTGTGCGCAGCTGAACACCCATGTCAACAATGTGTTTACCTTAAAGTAGCTGAATTCACTAATTAGAAGCAGTTTACTTCTACTGGATTACATGAGTCAAAGCACCGAGCAAGAAGGTGAACATACAACACATAGAAATAAACATGCATGTTTTAGCCTTCTGCAGTACCAATTTACCAAAGGCTAATATTTCAACAACTATTCATAAATGCTCTATTGTGCAGCTCCGTCTCAGAGCTAGGTCGAACATGAAAGCCAATGTTGTTAATTCATAAACAGAATGATTCCCTCTTAAGCATCATTGCAAACAATATTCTAAATCTGACTACAATACTTTGAACAACTGTGTGCTAGTCATTTGCACCATAATCATAGACCTCTGTCACATCAACACTGCACTAGTGACATATTATGCGTCATCAAACACTTCCCTGGTGCATCACCCTTCATTTCATTGTTTGTTCTGCACCAGTGGTTATTATCCTTAGATCCCTTTCTTCTGCCTAGTTATGTGATTACTCCTTCTGTATCCTAAAGCAGGATTCACGTCTTTATCTGATGATGAAAATGTTGTGATTCCTTTCGGATGTTTGTGCTGCTGACAGGCATGTTTAAAAATTACTGTCACATTCCTAGGAAATGCCCCACCATATTTGGGCATAAGAAATTTTTTGCATGTCAGAGGACCATTTGCTTAGTGTGGCCTTGCTCTTAGATTCAAATAGCAACACACTTTTATCAGATGCTCAAATATTCAGGATCAACAGACGTGCTGATGGCAACCAAATGCGAACAGTCCAAAATTCGGCTTCTAATGTCTTTTTCCTCACTAACATATTTAAAAGAGAAAGCAGAAGGTAGGATAGTGGACAGAAGCTCCACAACCACTCTGAGTGACAGGCCTGAGAAAAAGAGGCTTTACCAATGAAATGATGTGGGAGCATCACTTTGTCCATTCCTCGTGAAGAAATCCCAGATCTTTTTCTTGCCAGATTGCATTGTGTTCAGTTCTCTTGTAGTTTGTAAATGTCATTAACCCTTAAACTGCAGGGCTATTATTTTAGTATTAATCTTAAGACTAGGGATGCATCGATACTGATACTGGTATCAGGTATTGGCCTGACACCCTGCTCATTTACTTGTATTCGTACTAAAAAATGAATTTATCATCACAATAATAACAACAACAACAACAACAACAACATTTGCTACCAAAGTCCATCTACGCCAGCTTTACTCTGTGTACCTGAATAGAACTGAGACATAAATGTTAATATATTGATTTTTTTGTAAAACTGGCAGGACAAACCATACTGTCCTACCATGTACACCACTCTTCTCCATTGCAACGCTAGTCAGTCCAAGGCCAGTAATACAGCATAGCTATATATATAGCAAAGGGAAACAATGGGAACTGATGCAGAGCCTTTAATGTGGCAATTTCTCTACATGTTTGGATTTATTTTCTTTCTAAAAGCAGATTTTGGCACACTGAAGCTTTGACAGCAATGCTCCTTTTCCCCAGAACATTTTCTAAATTCCCATACTTTTCCAGGTTTAGAAATGCATGCTTTAAAATTCCATACTTTTTCCAGACCAGAGCAAGAACCGTGCCAATGGTTTTGTTCTTGCTTCCACACATTACAATGACCATTTGTCCACATCAGCAGCCGGAACAACAAAAAGCACTGAAAGCCTCACTAATCCCACCCCCTAAGAAGAATACAGCCAGCAGAGATAAAGAGTTTGTGCAGCTGTGCTTTACTCTGCTGCAAGAAGGCAAAATGGTGAGCTTTATTCACAGAAAGCCTCACTGCTATTTAACTAAGCTTCTAAAACGTCTTAAGCTAAACACAAGACTTGAATGAATCCACCATTTTCCAACCTTAGGTCCAAAACGAATAAGAGATGAAAAAAATGATCTCAAATGCCACAATTACTCACCATAAGTTCATGCTCGGTGCGATGGACTCCGAGTTTTTTGAGCCCGATGGTCAGGTCGTTTACACAGATCCCTCCGTCTCTGTTCACATCCAGGATCTGGAAGAGCACTTTCAAGCGATGCTCCTGCTCTGGTCCGCCACACACCGAGCAGCTCTGCGCCGTAGCGTCCGGCTCCACCGACACCTCGCTGGGTTCAACCGAGGAACGCATCTCCGTGGCTGCTGGGCTTCGTCCACCACTACCAAAACCACCTCCTCCACCACCCGGGTCTGAACCGTGATACTCTTCCGGACGACACTGACAGAAAACTCCGCTCAGTAAAGGCGAAACCAGCGAGCCTTCCTGGTGCATCCCACGATTCAGGCAGATTAAAACGAGCTATTCGCGAATACTAACCTAACTAGTTACAATTCAGGGAGATAAACTTCTCAGTTACACTCAACAACCTCTACAAAGTGTCTGGAACGCTAGCACTACTAAAACTGGTGTATTTCTAACTAACCTAACGCTAGCTGGCTAGCCGGTGTGCTGTGCTAGCAAACCGGCTAGCTTAAAGTACTTAATTGTCAGTTTTCCGCCGCTGCGAGGAAGCCAGCAGCAAAATTGCTGGTGATGTTCAAATTTGTTCAAGTGAGTTGTTCGTACGCTTGTGTCCACTCCATTGTTCTTCGCGTAGCAGTCTCAACAAAATACAAAAAAGGTTAGAAATGAAAGCCAAAGGTACATATTCAACCCGAGGCACTCACGTTAGCAGTGAAGAATCCGCCAGCAGTGATGAGGTGGATGCTCTCACTAGCCGAGCGTAACGTTAGCTCGCCAGAAGCCGGCGTCGAAGTTTTTGTTTCATAAAACCGACAAAAAACAAAATAAAAACTTCGAACGTGGCGAAAAAATCTGTGTAATCTTCAACTTGACTAAAAAATCCAGTTTTAGGCGGAACACAGCTAAACAATCCGGTAAATTGGTGGTCTATTTGACAGCCGACTACATGAAAATGCCGGTAACGTTAGAATGAGCGAGACACGAGGCGGAGCTGGAGATGAATGAGTTGGCGAGAAACGGGGCGGGGCGAGCAGACAAAGGCGTGATGGACGGTCTGTTTATCCAATCACAGTTGAGATTTGTAGCGCTCGCCGGGTAGTCTTAAATGCTTGGATGGACGATATCACCGATTTTCTGATCGATCAAGTAATACTAAGGCTAATATCCGGATACCGATTCTTTTTCATCTTGTGCGATTAGAAAAGAGAATTATTTGTCATTTCCAAAACCAATACATTTGGACATCTTATACATATCTTACATCCAAAAGCCTTAGCATAAATGCATTTTTTTGTGCTTAGCATTCTGGCCTGAAACTAGAATTTAACATGTGATTGCTCATGTTATGTGCTATTCTATTCAAATCCCTCAGCCTAATCGGTTTGAAAGAACTCCGAATTGTGTATCCTTTTTGTGTTTCCGACCCTCAGTGTTCTCTCAGTACAATACCCAGCATGCACTATGCAAAAATGATGTGCAATCATCTGAAATCCCTCCACTGTGATAAAGAAATCCTGAATGTAAGAGGTTTTGTATCCAAAAATATATTCTCTTTTATTAATATCTGTATGTGGTCCTCTTGCTGTCTGTCACCCTTGCAATAGAGACCTTAACTGTACTGAGAAGGAAATTGATTGGCCTACTGCCTGGAAAAATTTGGATGCTGCCCCCAGTAATCCTGACCATAAACTGATTCATTCGAAGTTTTTCTCATGAAACTTGTTCACTTTCTAGTCTGTGATTTTTGTTCTGGTGGTGAAATTGGCTCCTTTGTGCATATGTATCGGGACTGTCCATGAGCAACATAATTTTGGAAATTGGTGTCTTCCTCCTTATTTGACTTGCTGAACAGTGAAATATCATGTTGTGTAAGGCTGCTGCCTTTAAATGATGATTCATTTCTGGCTCTAACTAGAAAAAAACATATTCTGTTTGTTGGTTTAACTGCAGCAAAGAAAATGTTGGCCCCACGTTGGCAGCCACAACACTCTCTCTCCGGTACTCCATGGTTGCAATCTTTTTTAAAAAGAGTTCTATATAGCACCCAAAAGGCTTACATTGTAACAGTATAGCACCTTTATGAAAAAGAGTTAGAATAATACCACAGAGGTTTCTACAGGATTCATTTAAGAACGGTATTGTGTTTCAGATCATTACTATGGTTTACCACACAATGCTACAAGTGTTATAGATTACTATATGACTGTGTGAAAATATCATTATACAGCACACTATCAATGTTATACTATGATGGTAGATCTATTACAGACCACTGAGAATCTTTTCCAGGCTAAGCGTAGGTTTAAAAGGGAAATTCCACCATTTTTTCAAAGTTTCTGCATAGTTTAACCATTGAGATGTAAACAAGGTTATTCAGAGTGGTTAGATGTGTATTGTAGAGAAACATAGTGACTTTGGTTTCTTCGAAATGACCGTGAAATGGATAAGTATAGCCACATTTATTTACTATACAAATAGACCAGTGACCACATGTCTTCAGAGTTCTTTAAATGTAACACTCAAAATAATAAATCTGAAAAAAAAGCTTTCTTTGTGCACTATTTTGCATTACAACAACCAACCATGTACCTCTCTACCCTGCATGTATTTAAGCCAAAATCTTATCTCAAAACTATTTTAAAACAGTGTTTCAGGCATCAGGAAACATATTTGTAAGCCTTTTATGTAAAAACGTCCTGAGATGTAGCTTTTAGACATATTGAATGCTTCAGATTTTTAAAACTACTTTTCAAAGCGGTGCAAATATTTTCACAGGGGTACAAATAATTTGCAATCGCTTGTTGTTGAATTTACATATGTGAATGACGCCTGGTTCCTATCACCACCAGTGTAACTGTTTCCCATGGATTTTCCCCATAATTCAATACATTTCACTCTGAGTGAGTTTATTTAAATCTCATTGATTTATGCGAACGTTTTGAAATAAACCACCCTAAAATGAGTCATCGTTTTTTACATTTCATTGTCAGCAGATGGCGCTACATACGCGCAATATAAGGTCCGTGCTGTCTTTGTCATGCATTGGAAAACATGACACGTGAATCATACTGAAGCATGAGAGAAAAAAACCCAGCATGCATGGTGGAGCTGAGAATAAACATAAAAAAAGGTCCGTGTTTTAAATCACTGCTTTACAGATGCACTTTACTGCTTAATTACAAATTACACACGTTTGATTTGTATGTGTCTCAGGCTTCGGATTTTATACAAAACAAAGAAAGGGGTCTGTGTGTTTTCAGCATAATTCACATTATTCTGTTTGACATCTATGTAGTTCAGTGCAGTGTGCAGATGTCTGGTTTTATTTAAGGAAGTCCACGCGTCAGGGTGGGCGGAGCTTGGGCTGAAAGAATGAGCAGAGCTTGAAGTTCAGTAGTGGCAGTCAAGCTGCTCCGTACGTTGTACGCCGAGAGACAGAGAGGGTCTTACAGTTGGGTAGGTTCACTGTGTTTCTGCCAGTAGCTCTGAAAGCTTAAGTAATGCTTCATTATGCCTGTTTTGTCTGTTTTTGGTCAGTATTTTGAACAAAAATAGCCTATGAAAAGGACTCGGCGCAGCGTAGTCTCTTTGTCAAACTGCCTATAACGTTAACTCAGTTCAGTTCGTTGTGTTGTTAGGGGCAACGGCTCACAAATTGACGGGAAAAATATGCTAACCTAGCTAACGTCAGTTTACCGTCGAGAGCTTGTCGTTTACTCCACTGTTCAACGATAATAACTGATGTGTTTCTGTCACAGGGAGTTGGACCGTGAGGTATCCTGAGGTTTCCCTGAGGTAGGTTAAGTTAGCGAACCTAGGTAGGTTCAACGGACGCCTTTGGTGTCGAAGCTGGAGTCAGCTTCTTATTCGAATTTTCCCGTTCCACCTTAAATAGTGCAGCAGTTACATTCTGGCGCAGCAGTTACACTCAGTAAGAATGTAACTGCGGCACCATTTAAGGTGGAACGGGACAGTTCGAACAAGAAGCTGGCGAATAGAAAGCCAACTTCAGCCTCGTCCTTTCGTGCAAATATCTTGCATATGGCGTTTCGTCTGACAGCGGTTTTGTGTTACAGAGCTTTCACACTATTCACCTGAGATGCTGAACCGAAGCAGAGGCATCAAGAAGAAGAACTTCCAGGCGCCAGATTAAGAAGGCAGATTGTCCCTGTGTTATTATCTACTTCGGTGTTTCTTCAGTTTTAAGAGTGGAACAGCAGCACCCAGTTAACCACGCACAAAAGACTATGGCGTTTTTGATGAAAAAGAAGAAGTTCAAGTTCCAAGTCCATTTCACTCTGGAGGAGCTGACGGCCGTGCCGTTCGTAAACGGGATGCTTTTCTGCAAAATCAGACTGTTGGAAGGTGGAGACTTTGCCATTTCTTCATCCAGGTAAGAACTGTTATTTTCTTCATCAGCATTAGTCTGTCTCTTTGGGTTTCTCTAGGAGCTTTTGTCCAGGGTGGGTGGCAAGCCTGGTCAGTGTGGGGTTTCAAGACATTTTGCAACACGCAGGTCAAGTTCTCGCACCTTTTCGCTTGACCCACTTTACTTGAGAGCAGTCCTGGTCCTAGAGATCCCCTGGCACTGCATGCTTTAGTGTTTCCCCTTCTCCAACACGCCCACTTCAGCTCATCAGCACACTGTCAAGCTCTTCATTAGGGTAATGAAGCTGTGTTTGGGCAGGGAAAGCACTGAAATGCACAGGGAACATCAAGTTTGGGAAACCCCGGAAATGGTTGGATTGGTCAAGATGTTCATATTCTAGAGTCTTTCAGTGTCCTACAGGAGATTTTTTTGGAACAGATGAGAATTGGTTCAACTCTTAGTGCTTTAGTTTAGTGTGAGATGCTCTTTGTTATCTTACATAGAATGATACTGGAATCGTTATCGGCATCAGACTGATGCTTAGATTTGGTAAAAATTTCAAATCGATATTTGATGATGTATTTATTGTACTTCTGAAGAGCAGAACATAATTACAGAACATTACTCTGTAATGGTAATCCAGTAGATATACTGGCTTCAACAGGTACATAAATGGAAAATATAGTATATTCCCATACTGGTGCATCCTTAGTCCTGTACTTTTTTCCCTTTACTGTAATCTGTAATAATCCTAATTAATCTTAAAGTCATATATCCAGTCTTGTGGCAATGGTAAGCAAGGGCAGAAAGGTCTTGGCCATATTAACAAGACTTGCTACATGTTACTTGTCTTTCAGTGATCTGTGCTAGTCTTTTGTGTGCTTCTGAAGGTTTTGTTCAGGTGTTCTGCTTTTTTTTCCTGCATTCATTGCATTTAATCAGGCTACTAAGCTGGTGCACCCATTTCCAGACTTACCTGTTGTATGTTTGTGGTTTTGAATGACAGCTGACAGCTGCCACTGAGCAGGCCTACAGCTTTGCTTGTGTATGTGAAGAAGAGCTTAGGTCAGGCACACAGGTGCGGCCGGGTGTGGAGTACAGTTTTGCATACGTACTACTGAGGATAACTGTAATCTCGTGTGGCTTTGTGTGTGTGAAAGAGAGAGCGAGTACAAATGCTTGTCACTACAGATCCATCCTCTCAGTCACCTTGTGTATGTAATTAAGGCCGTTTTTTTAACCTCAGTGGATCACTTCAGGGTTAAACAAAGCAGATCTGGTTATTACTCTGCTTGAAATCTCTGGCCTCAACATTATTTGATTCTGTTATGATTCTTTAAGGTAGAATTCAGTGCATCATGTAATCTCAAATTTAACCAGGATTCGGTTTGATCATTATTTACACAGTATTTACCCAGTAATAGCACATTAATAGAAAAAAAGTTTTTCTGGACTTTCATGAAAACGATGGAAGCCTTTTTCCTCCAGGTTTCTGTCAGCAGTATGTCAAAATATTGACTTAGTATCTCAAAATTATGACTTATTTTTTTGAAATGTTGATTTACTCTCTTGAATTAATGACTTGCTTTCTCAAAATATTGACTTAGTATCTCAAAATGACTCATTTTCCTCAAATACTGATTTAGTGTCTTGAAATAATTACAGATTTTCTTGAAATATTAATTTAGCATTGTAAAATAATGATTTCTTAAAATATTGACTTAATGTCTTGAAATAAGGCCTTAACACCTCAAAATATTGACTTCGAGTCTCGATATAATGATGTACTGTCTCAAAATATTGACTTAGTAGACTTTCAAGTAATTACTTATTTTATCAGGATTTTAAGGTAGCATGCCAAAATAATAAATCATTACATTTTAAAAAAATAATTGTTTAGAAATGCTTTCTCATTATTTCTATATAGTAAGTCTTTATAGTAAGTATTTTCAGGTAATGAAATTATTATTTCGTCGTTATTTCTATATAGTAAGTCTTTATAGTAAGTATTTTCAGGTAATTAAATTATTATTTTGATAGTAATTCACTGTTTTGTGAAAATGGGTCATTATTCTGACTTAGTAATTATTTAGAGATACTAAGTCAATATTTTGACATACTGCTGCAGAAGAAGAGAAAAAAAAACACAGGCAGTGTTTTTCTTCTACCTGGTAGATGTGAGCCTCCTTAAATAGCCTGAGAATTACATTTTGAGTATTAAAACTGATTCTAATCCTTTCTGACATTCCAAAATCAATATAGTTGAATTGGCACCTTCAGGCTGATACGTCACAATGCATCAACACAGTTATTACAGTCTGTGGCTGTATCTCCATGCTAGCCATAAATCGGTCAGCACAGCCTGTTTGCAGTGTGTGTTTTGTGTTCACACGGTATTTTTGAGCACACGGCACTGGGGGCGGTGTGGCGTGGGTGCAATGACTCTCTGGTAGTGCCAGGCACGTTTGTGTACCCGTGGGCTCGATGTACTGAAATGCCCTCGACATTCAGCCTGCACAATGCTCCGTCTGTCTAATGAGCAGAGGCTCGGAGAGGTTAAGTCCCGGATGCCCTGACTTATCACTGTTCTTCAGAAAGGAGGGAGAGATCAGGGCTGCAATGTATCATAAAATCGATCTTTGCAGTGCTGTTATCACAAATGGCTGCAATGTGCGATATATATATATATATCACATCACGATGTATATCACAAACAAGTGTCACAAAATGATACTGTCTGATAAAATGATGCAACATGCCAGATAAACAACTGACATTTTCTATGTGTATTGAAAATTTGTTAAAAAAGTAACAACAATAATAATAAACAAAGAAGTAATGATTAAAAAATGTTAATAAGTTAATTTCACCTTAAAATGTGTGTACAAAAAACCACAGTAATGAAGTTAGGTGCAAAGGCAGCAGCACAGGCAGTAGTCAGGGAGAGGACACATTGCCTATGTGTATATGAAAGCATGTGACATCTGTTTACAGCATGAAGTGGCTCTGGAAAGATAAATAAGTAAATAACATGCTAAAGGCTAAGCGCTAAACGCAGCTGGCTACAAACAAATAACTTACTACTACTGCTGATTAAACTCGAGTACCCAACTAACAAAGAGCATAAATTTCTTAACAAGGTTGGTAATATACTCACTTTCTTTGTAGACACAAAAGCATAAGTAAAACAAGCTGAATGAACTTCCCTCAAAGTGCAAACAAGGGACCAGCGTAAAACAACTTCTCCAACAAAGCCTATTATACAAATAAAAATAAATAAGAGTAAAACTCTAATATTATACCAAGTTTTGCTATTTGCTAGACATTGTAAATAGTACACTGTCAGATTTGAATGGAGCATCAGTTTCACTCGTGCGTAAACACCCTGTGTAACAGTAGATTCAGAAATACTGCCATCGCTGTATCGCTACACATATCGCCATGTGTTTATCCATAATATATTCCTGTATAGACTCTAGTTATAACCACATCCCCTCAATGGTTCATCAGTCTAAACATATATCTCAATGGCTGTGTGTAGCAACATAATCACAATACAATGTTTTGTTTGTATCGCTCAGTCCCACGTGAGATGAGGAGTTGGTGGGAAAGAGTGGTCGTGATGGAGAGAATGCATGCAGGTTTAGAGAGAGCTGGAGCTTAATGGGCAAAAAAGAAGAAAAGATAAAACTAGACAAATAGAATGAGGGAGAAAGCAGAGATGTGGAATGAGAGAAAGAAAGAGAAAGAGAGAGAAACACAGAGGCTCAAGTGATACTGCACACAGAGAGCTTTTTGTCTGCTTAAGCCACAGCATCCCATCTCTCTCTCTCCCTCTCTCTCCCTCTCCCTCTCTCTCTCTCTCTCTCTCTCTCTTTCTCTCTTTCTCTCTCTCTCTCTTCTCCCTCCCCTCTCTCATTCTTTTCCAGCATTCTCTCATATTTCTTCTCCATCCCGCTCTTTATCTGGGTGGCTTGCCCTTGTGAAGCGCTTGATTGGCCAAAGAGGGCTCTGCGGATCTTGTAAACAAAGAAGGATGCCACGCTTGAGCTGGCGCAATGAATGAAGAGCACAACACAATAGATTGGCTTGAATTATTGCTTTTCATGCTGATCTGAAACCCACTATTGCAGTTTTCCAGAATGGTTGAGGCCATTTTTATGTCAATTCTGTAAAATAACTTTCATTTTGGCCCAAAAAATGAGCTCATACATTAATGAAAATTATTATAATTAATTCCAACATTCCAAAATGAATGCTGTGGAGTTACCTCCTTAAGATATGCATTTTACACCCTTTTTAGACGAGCACAAAAGGCAGCTAGCCAGTAGCAGGCAGTGAAGCTTGAAGGATGGCAGGGTTGTTGCTGATGGTGGAACAACGGTTTAATGGCAGAGCTGCAGTGAGATAAGCACAGCTGTATATCACATCCCTGCAATAAAAGCAGCCATATCAACTCACCACCATGGGCGAGAGACTAGGAGTGCTGTTATCTCTCTTGCTTAGCCACCATTTTTAGATGCATAAATACAAATGTTGTTCATTCTTCAGCCCACAGTCTTTAAAATCATTGTGCCAAAAGAGTTTTTTGGAGTGACGCCAGTTTTGTTTTGCTAAAGAACCTTTCCACTTTTGTAAATGAGTCGGTTAAATGAGAAGGTTAACGATTAAAAACCTCTCACACATGTTAAGTTTCCATACCAAGTATAGTATACCAAGTTTTTCATAGAGCTGTCCAAGCCAACAGCCATTTAGGAACCTTTATTTTTAAAAGTGTAGCTAATCTTGCAGGACGTTGCACTTGGCTTTAACCGAATGATTTGGCGAAAACAAATATACACAATTTTCCACTCACCCTAGATGTGGTCGACTCATCCTAGATGTAGATGTAGCCAAGACCTGATTTGTGTCCAAGTTTTGCTTCTTCAGTTTAGTGCTGAAACTGCAAGACTAAAGTGTGTTTGCAAATAGAAACAACAGAAATAAACAGAACTGTAATCTAGTGTCCATATGTCCGCATAACG